GCCGAGAGGAGACCGGAGGAAAAGGGATTGTGGCATGGCCATCCTCTCTAGGGGGTGATTTCTTGTTTTCTGTCTCTTTGTCTCTCTCCCTTTGGCAAGTGCACACACCCCATAGCAAAAATCTCTCTCTAAAAAAAATAATAATACGTTTCAATAGTCTTTTTTAATTCATTTTTTAGCATCAGGTTCTTTATTTTACATTTTTTTTTCAATTTACATTGAATCACTGTACATCTTTACAGTGCATAACATGGTTTTTCCCACCATGAAAACTGTGCATCAGGTTTAATAGTTTTTCATTGACATGTAATAGTTGTATGTATCAGTGGAGTGCTGTGTCAGTTTTCAATGCATGTTTATTGCAGCACTGTTTACAATATCCAAAATAAGCCATCAACCTAAGTGTCCATCCATGGATGGATGACTAAAAATAAAAACGTGCTATATATACACACTGGAATATTACTAAGCCATAAGAAGGATGAAATCCTATCATTTGCAGCAACATGGATATATACATTCATCTTAGTGTAAACTAAATCTACATCTTATTTTTTCATTCTTTCTTTGACTCATAGAATGACCAATAAATGATATGTTCTCTCAGTCTTTCCCAAGCCATTAAATATGCCCCAGTAAATGTGGGTTTGCTCTTTACTTTCATGAAAGAGGCACAACCTTTCCAATTTGCTTGTGTATGCCTAGGACAAGGGCCCTGCTTCACCTCAGCCATGTATACGCTGAGCAGTTGCAAGTGATTTTTCTGGTAAGCAATAAAAACAACGGAATGAAAACTCCTAAGTGTGATAGAGTTCCCCTCCCACTGAGATGCAATTTTAGCTTCACAAATAACTGGGTTCTAATATTGAAAATGCTCCACCCAACCTTTCCCGGTACTACTGCTTCCTTTTATTGTCCCTTTCCCTTTGTTTTCCTCCCCAGATAACCTCATTGCAAAGCCGTTAGGTGGGGAGAACAGGGACCAGGTGTGGCAGTGGCCATGGGGAAAGCCAGCAGAGTAGGGACGACATCCCCACAGTGCCAGGGGGGATGCCAATGAGGGAGACGAGATCCAGGAGACTGGTCAAACACGGACATGCTACATAGGATGTGAGCCAGGTTTTTACTGAGAAAGGAGGTACAGGGATGGTGTTAGATTAAATTTGGGGCTGGTTTGAATTCATGATTTTCACTCTGTGCAGAATCACATAGAAACAATTATGGGTGAAAGGGTGTGTGTGTGTGTGTGTGTGTGTGTGTGTGTGTGTGTGTGTGTGCATGTATGTACATGTTCTGGGCTGCCAGGGACAGTGTTCCAATAGCAATGAGCACTCCTGGTGCCCAGATTTGGACTTTCCAACCACATTTATTCACTAAAAGAAACCTAGGTTCCTAGGAGAAGTGCCTGACTTCAGGACAGGGGTAGGAAAAGGAAAAGATCATCTTTGACCAATGTATTTTGCCAAAGATCAAAACACTGCTCAAAGAATGATAGGGGCATGTCAGAAAGGCACAAAAGCCAGTGCGATGGGGCACCTCCTGGCTCTACTGGGAGTGAACGAAGCATTAAAAAGTGAAAGGAGCAGATGGCTCCTGGGGTAACATAGGAACCCTGGCTCCATCTTGAGGTAAACGCATTCTAATACAAGTTGATAATTCATAAGGAGTCAGATATTTACGTCATCTCAGTACAACCCCTCTTGTAAAATAATTACTTACAAGGGAAA